TGAGTCACGAGGTTCAGAAAGGACCCCCTTGCTTTCTAAACTCCTTCTCAGAGAGGAGTCTAGGTGCGGCTGGATCCAGTCCTAGTCCCAGACTTGGTCAACGGTTTATGTCTAAAGGATCATATATGCACAATCAATCCTTTACATTACTTAGCTAAGATTTCAAAGTTTAGCATGCTGTTAGTCACTTACCGAGAATCTGTTGCGGCAACGAATCCCTCAACCTCGAGGAGCAGAACCTTCAGTGAGCATCCTCACCAAAGGGGAGATCCTGGCGTGCAGCCGCTGCCGTACAGGAGAGCTCCAAGGGCTCTTGGGCTGTCCACTATTTATACAGTAAGATAATTGACCTATAGTCATATTTTCATGGCAACAAAATTTCTAGGTCCCCACTCCAGACAGTATTTTGACTCTGCTGCCAGCCATCCCCCAGAGACCGGGTGCAAGTTGTCACAGCTGCTGTGGTGATGGCCGTGGTGGCCAAGGCCGGGCAGGAGCCGAGGGAGCAGGAGGGGGGCAAACCAAGGAGAGCACACCCCCACAATGTCTTGTGCTCTCATGTTGCAGCAGTTAGGGGATATGGGTTAGGACTGTCCACTGCTATACCTATGGTCAGATGCTTATAGGACAAGGCGTAATGGCTTCAAACTGGAATAGGGTAGATTTATATTAAATATCAGGAAGAAATTTTTCACTATGAGGGCACTGAGTACTGAACAGGTTGCCCAGAGAAACTGTGGCTGCCCCATCCCTGGAGGTGTTCAAGGCCAGGCTGGATGGGGCTTTGAGCAACCCGGACTAGTGGGAGGTGTCCCTGCCCATGGCAGGGGGTTGGAACTAGATGATCTTTAAAGTCCCTTCCAGCCTAAACCATTCTATGATTCTTATGATATCCCCACAGTTCACCTCTATTTGCATATATGTTTATATACTAACATCTGTCACTTGTTCAAGCATGTCTAAAAGGAAAGTTACCAGTGTAACAGTAACAGTATTACAGAGACCTGGAATACAAACCTCAGGCACTTCATTGTGCTTTATGTAGTTTCTTCATATTCTTCAGCTGAAGTCAAAATTTTGTATTAACAGCATCACATATTTCCTTAGGGGGCTGACGCTAAAGGCTTATCTGAAAAGGAATATACCCTTTACAAGTAATAAATGTACCGTAAATATGTAAGATCAGCAAATACGTCCCAAAATGTGGTATACTGATTTATTATGCACTGTAACTCCTGTTCCATTCTATGAAAAAAAAATATAAAATTTTTATGTCCTTAAGAATACTGTCTACATAACGTGGCTTTGTTGTGCACATAAGTATATGAACCCTTTTTCTATCTTGGAAGTGAGAATCTACTCTTTTTTAAGCTTTAATCTTTCTTCATAAAATGTATGACACTATATTCTGGATAGTCAGAGGGGGCTTGACTTGATAGATCATGTAGCGATCTAAGCCAAAACCTGCTGATTTTAAGCCTTCTAATGAACTGCTGCCCAGTTCTGCCAGCCAAGGTTGGAAAATGCTGTGCCTCTAAATTGAGACACATTATCTGACAAGAACATTGTGCAAGAGCCTGTGAGTTTCTGCTGCTGCTGTGCCTGAGCCGTGCCCACTGGCGTGCCTGTGAGCCTGTAAGCCAGGCACTGCTCTGCCTTTTTTCCTCTGAAAGCCCCAAATCAACGGCTGAGAAAGCAGACCTGTGGAAAAGCCCATGGTGGTAGCTGGCAGCCTTCAAAGCAGAAAATGGGATGGGCTGGGTGCCACCCTCAGCCCCTTCCTGCTGCCAGGGGGGATCCAAACATGCAGATTTCTGCCACCCCCAGGGATGGAGCCGTTTCGGGTGGAAGCATTCGCATACTGTCCTTCCCCACCCCAAATATTGTCCCACTCCATAAAAAAGACTTACAGAGGAGGGAATGGGAATATGGTAAAAAATTCACTCCTCTCTTCAAGTTCCGAGTTTGACCTGCTAAATTCTGATAACACTATCTTGAAATGCTTATCTGCTTTAAGGCATTGTGTAGGAGCTGTAGGTATCTCATTCAAAGACACCCGATGCTATTGTGATGAAGGCTACTAAGTGCCGCTGGGTTTTTTTTGGGGGGGCAGGTTAGTAGACTCTCTGCTTTTAAAGTAGTAAGTTGCAAGAATCCCCCAGTTAAGAAATTCTGGTTAACCTTCCTTTATAATTCTCCCTGACTTGGCTGTCCCTCTGGCACCCTCCAAACATGCCCTCCTGAGCATTTTCTTCCCATAGGAAATACTGAAGGATCCCACACCATTCTGACATACAGCAGGACACCAGTATTTTTGTAGCCCAGCTCACTAACAGTACAGTACAACAGACATTTACAGTGCTGTAAAATTAAGCTAATGCGTTTAGTAAATGTTTCTAGAAAGGTTACAGAATGTACTGCTTTTATCATTACAGGTGAAGCATGGCTTCTATGCATTTGACATTTTGGAGTGTTTTTTCATAGATCCTAAAAGGTCTTTTTGTCATATAATTATCTAAAACTTGTTCCCCTAGGAGACCTGAAAATGAGCAGCTTCTCTGTTCATATGCATCAATTTGCTCACATAGAATATTGATCCTCATGAGGCTTTTCTTGCTCTACATCCCACTAGAAGGGATCACGTATATTTTTTAATTTTTATATATATATGTGTGTGCGAATATGATCTTTTCCCACCTTGCGAATGTGATGAGGAGGATTGCAAATTACTTCATTTCAATTTACTCTGAAATGTAAACTTTTGTGAATGCATTTGTATTTTTGCTCTTTCCCAAAGCATCATAAAGATGTAAGGGTTTCACAGCTACCATTCATATTTTACTTATGTCTTTCTGGAAATGTCAGGGGCAAGTAATATCATGCACTGCAGTCTGAGCATGTATCTACACGTGCAATTATATATTTGTGTCTGAATAACACAGTGTGCATCACTATTTTGAGAAACAAGCTTTGATCGTTATTGTTGCTAACAACAATATTAATACTAATGCACAGTATTCTTAACAAAGCGTATCATGGGGCATTTTGCAATTCAAATACAATTAAAAAGCAACATCAAATGAATGTTTGATTTTGATTTAAATTACGAGTAATTCAGCTCTCTAAATATGCACCAAATTAAGAATATTAGAAAACAAACTCCTAGTGCTGCCTTCACTGTCCTCTCAGAGAGCAGGGTTTTCTGCAGCCTACAGACAGCTGAGACTCCTCCTGGCCCATGAAATGAGGCTGGAGTTCAGCTCACCAACCCCAAGGCTGCTGACACACCTCGGCACTCGCAGGGCCACCCCATTACCTTCACAGCACCCAGCAGCTTTGTTCCGCGGCTTCTCCTCCATCAAAATACAATTCTCCAGGTCCATCAGCTCCACCTCGAAGGCAGTGGCTGTTGGCAGCGTGGTTGCCCTAGCAGTAAGGGCATTGAGGATGTCCAGGTGTGACTGAAGATTGCTGAATATCCTCTCCAAAAATCTTAGTGCTGCTGCTGGAAAAAGAATGACCCCAGCCTGAATGACAATCTCTTAGAGAGGACAAAAAAATCTAACGTTTATTTACAAACTGAGCAAATTTATGCAGAAACTCTCTGCGAGGCAATCACTGAAACACATAACAGCATTGTTTTCTGAGTATCACTATAATTTGAAATCTCATATTGGTTTGCCGGTGTTACAGTATTTTTCTTGCTTCCTTAGTTCACCCATACATGCAGAAATCCACTTTCCTTAAGCTTATTACTTGACCCTGCTTTACCAGACGGTCTATCTGAAGTCTGTGCACTTTGGACATTTATTTTATTTCTTAAAATGAACTCTGTTCTTTAAAAATGAAATGAAGGCTTTAAGAGTATAATATAAATCAGATGAAAAATTTAGAGCAGACTGTGCTGCTTCATCCTAGTTGATAAATTACACATGATGATAGGCTTTAACCCCTCCCAGTAGTACTCCAATATTATATATTGGTTTTGCATATCATCTTCTCTTGGGAAGTATGCTTTTTCACTTGTGAGTTTAGTCACTGCCTCCAGCCGAAGTTATACAACATTAGAAGAATACCAGAAAAGGAGGGGAAAAAATAATCTGAAGAAATGGTTACAGAAGTAATGGCATGGTTGCCAGAAGTAATGAATATAATTAACTTACCCAAGAAGGCGAATTTGCCCGGCAGAGTCACTCAGAGCTTCTCACTGATTCTGCTCCAGGCGTTGGTGTTGCACCAAGGCGGTGGGTGGGTCAGCAGGCAGGAGGGGTGACGCTCAGAGCAGCATCCATCACTTCTCTGGAGGGGAGAACGTGTTCTGTGAACCACCGCGTGCACCTCGGTGGGGTGGGTCCTGCCTGGGCATGGGCCTGACACGGGGAAGCTGCCCAGCTCCGCTGCTCCAAGGAAACCCAACCCAGAGCTTCATCTGCAGGGGCAGCACAGGGACATTGAGGCTATTGCTACAGAGCATGACCAGGCACAAGGAGGCTGTTTTAGCTAAACGAAGATATTAAATGCCTTTGAACATATACCACGTACCACAGGCTACCTGTTCCTGCAATATCCATGTTAAAATACTGGTACGTTTTGCTAGTTTTTTTCCTGAACTCCTTTTTTAAAATGCATTTTCTACCCTGGATTGGTACCGTTAGGTTTAGCTTACGTGCTTGTGCAGAAGCAGAGTGACATTCCCTCGGTGACAGCTGAAACGCCGAAGGAAGCCGTACGCGCTTTTCTGGTGGCGGTGCATAAAAACCTGTGATAACGAGGTAACACAAAGGAGGGCTCAGCACTGGTTCATTCCATTATCCCATATTCTCTTTGAAGCAGGACTTACTTCCATATGCAGAGGGAGGACAGCCTGGTGGAAGGGAAAGGGGTTTGTTAGCCCATCAGGGGTAAAAGGGAAATGCACTTCTCCAACACCTGAAAGCTATTCTTGAAGATCTGTTGCTCTGCCCTAATTTACCCACAAATAAATTCATTCATGTTTCCAGAATGATGTGGCTCCTAATTACTGCTGTGGGAAAGACTATTATTTGGTGAAGTATCAGGCCTTATGACGGGAGTGAAAGGGGTCCCCTGAGTGCTCAGGATGGCATGGAACACCTAAGACGACCTGCATGTAAGAAATTTTGGGACCCAGCAATAATGAGGTAAGTGAAAACCCAAATTTCAACCTCTCAGGAGCAGGCATCTGTTTAGAGAAGTCTTAATAGGTTTGGCAGGAGATTCAATAATATTTTATCTGGACTGTCTTAGTGGTATAAAGCTGCTACATTTAGTGAGAATAGTAACTAAGAAACTACAAGAGAGAAAAAGTAATTCTAACGACACATAAAATATAGCTGCCATGATTTATGCTTTTAAAGATTTGCTCAGAAACAAAAATAACTGTAAGTAACTATGCTTACTGACATCCTTCCTACCCATGTCTAATTAGTCCAGGCAGAGAACATGGTAGGTTCATCCTACCCCGTGTCTAAGACTTCAACATTAAAATACAGCAGCAGCTCAGTAAGTTGGTTTTGGGTGCATACTTCTAGTTGCTCCTCTTCATTAATATGGTGGTCACAAGACTAACAGAAAAGTTTCAGGAACTGCAAAAGTGGAACCTGCAGAACCCTATTTCTAACCCATCATGATCACTAGAAGTATCACATGTTTTGTCCTCCTTTTTTTTTTAGCCCTCCAATCCCATGGCTCAGATTTGGCCTCCACTTCCACTGCACCTCCTTCATTGAACTTCCAAATCAGGTAAAATTGTCATTAGACAAAAATGAATTTATACTAGATAAGATACTAGACTTTCCCTGTAAATTAAACAGTCACCCAATATTTCGTCTTTTTCTTTTCCTTTACAGGAGCCAGTTCCCTGATGAACCATTGATACAACATTATGGATGTGTGATAAGTTAATTGTACAAAGCAAGCATTAAGTTAAAGCTCTTGGGGGTGAAGAAGGGGAGATCTGCTTAGTCGTTTAGCTGAGAATGCCACATTAAAAAACTATGGATATAACTTGGAGAGGGAGAAGAAACCCAAGACTTTCTATGAAAAGCCCAGCTGGGGACAGCTTTTCTCTTCGAAGTCTCCTTGAACTAGAAAGAAGTTAGGAAATTAATGTTTTTCTCATTTGGATAAAGTTTATGTGTAAAATGGATAAGCTTTATGTGTAAAACTAAATTGATCAAATGTGAAAAGTATTTAATCTTTAGGCTTGCTGAAAAAGAATAATGGTATAGCCTCCCTAATGTGTTAGAACATTCATTCTGGTTCCACAACAGACCTATTCTGGGACAAGTTTCATTATTTGCTGCTTTTCTTTATCTACAACAACAGCAACAGAAAATGTAGATTTTGCCTCATGAGAATATAGTTTTTTCCCAGAAACTTTAACAATAAACACAAAATATCAAAATCCTTCATATGGAAAAATGATAAAAAATGACTGCCTGTTTAATACCTTAGTTTTTCCCTGACATTATTTAACATCTTTGCTAGAAGTTTTCTTATAGATCAAACACCTGTAGCTACATGGAACCTACGGCAGAGAAATGACATTTCTGCTGTAATAATTTTAATAAATTGCAATTTGCATAGATTGTATTTGATGCTAGTATACCACGCAGTATGTATGCAAATACCAGAACCTTCTCTACTCTATTTGAAAAAGCTTTGCAAACTTGCTATTTTCTTCCACTTTGGAATAACTTGGACTGAATTACTGACCTTCAAGATTAGATTATTTTATAAATTGTAAGCAATAGAAAGTGTAACTTTCTATTTCTTTTGACAATAAATATTGAAAAAGAGTTTTCCAATTTTGATGATGTATTCCCAGAAGACATATTTTTTATGGCTTTAAATGTTAAAGACTGTTTTATTGCTTGTTCTTATTTTCTGTAGAGTATTCCAAATATTCTACTCAGTCATCTCCTAGATTTGTTTTTTTTTTTCTGAAATTTTGGTTGGTTTTCACTAACTCTTCTTTCAATTCACAAAATAAATAGCTAAAAGGGCCAGCAGTGTAATGATTACTACAGAAATTTCAACAAACCCTCTCCTTCATTAACAAAACAAAGAGTTCTGCAGCTTTTTCTGACAACCAAGTTAACAACCTAATAGAGAACTTTCTTCCTACTCCCTTTTACTTCAAACAGCTGAACAGTAGAAAAACACCTCTGTTTGTAAGTAAGGCCTTATCCCTCTCAAAGTGTTTCCTTCCTTTATACTGGTATATTTTTTCCCATTGTAATAAACATGGGCTGACACTTGCCAATGGTCAATAAGATTATTATTTTTTTTTCCAGAATCCTTTTTATTTGTGTCTTTAACACAACGCATGCCTGGGCAAAGTAGCGAAAAAACAGAGATAAGAATTTAGTATTTTATCTCCAGGGGGTTGACACATTTTGAGCCTTATAGATGCAAATAATACCAGTTGCAGGTTGAGGCAGTATTAAACCACATCCTGCCTAAATTGATTCTAGAAACAGTTAAATTAGTATGCTGGAAAGAAATGAAGGAGGGGAGAAGCAAATCTGGTGTAATTTGGGCCATCAATTGGAGAAAAGCTGACGTAGTGATCTTAACTTCAAAAAATGTCTCTGGGGAGCCACAAAAAGTACATAGATAACTTGATTAAGATGAAAACAGATAGGAAGTGCTGCCCGTCAGTGCTATGGGCTTCAGCAGTACTACTAATACATAACTGGAACTGTTATTTACTGGCTTGGTCTTGTTGTGCAGTCCCAAAGGTCTTTAGAGGATACATTTATACAGTGCAATCGCCACATCCGTATTAAATCATGGGTGAGAATCTATTTCAATTTCTTTTTCACCTGGCTGTTTGACCACCAACCATACAGACACGATTTAGAAATCTATCAACTACTCCTTATATCACAAGGGTCAGACTGGTCCCTAGCTGGCATAAATAATAGAGACTTCAAAACGAGTCTAATTTTGCTCATTAACACATTAGGCTATCCCTGCTGCGTTTCCTCTTCCATTTTACAGATATAAAAATGTTACAAATACAACATACAAAAAAAATTCTTTGCATCATAAAGGAATGTTTCCCCTCTTCCGAATTCAATTTATTCATTGAAAGAACTGGAAACTTGTATTAAAAACTGCCACCACCCCTCCACCACCAAACAAAAATAAAGCATTTGCTTCTAGCAGTGTTAAATGATGTTTGATGCTCCAGAGAGCCTTCAACATTCATTACAGAGTCAACCAGAGCTTCATTAAATATCAGTCTAGCATGTGTATATGTGGTAGTGAGTGCCGGCCTCAGGAGCTCCCTTAGGCGATGTTCTATAGGTTTCTTTCATCTGTCATTTTGCTTTGACTTGGGGCGATTATCACTTTTATCATTGACAATAGAAAACTCATTCCTGTGTGCATTTCATTTTCATTACTCCTTGCCCCGTGAGGATGACTGACACACACAGATTCTTTTTCATCTTTTAAAGTATTGTAATTAATCATTTTAAATTCTCGCCTTGGAGTGTTCTTTTATTAGCATTGGGTAGATGAAATGAAATTAAAACTGTGTATTGGTACTGAGAAAACTTGCAGGGCTATCCTGGCCTAGTAGCAAAAATTAACTCTCATACATTTTACACTGGTTTAACTTAGCTGCCCTGCATCTAGTCCATTCTGATATACATTAACATGAGCAGAGTGTGAATATGGGCTAGGGAGTGCCTAATGTTTTGAAACATCAAACGCAAAAAAAAAGGAAAAAAACCAGCCTTTTTTTCTCCATGGGAACATCACTGGAGGTTTTTGAATCTGTAAGTTGGTGCAGACAGTTATGAAACAATTTAGAAAATGAGGGAGAAAGATCTTAAATATACAGTACCGGTTGGAGACTGAGGACACCTGGGTTACGGCCACTGCCATGGGCTTCACAAGTTATCTTGAGCAAGTGACAAGTTCTCTTCTTGTTTTCCACCTGCAAAATTAAGATATGAGTGCTCCTTCCTCACTCTTTGCTTCATTTATTTAGGTTGTGGGCTCTTCAGTACGGAAACAGCCTCTTATACTTGCCAAGGACTGTGTCTACCACAACCTCGCTTAAGCACTAATGTCAAACACATAATAATTGTGTGCCATGGCTGTAATAGTTACTGCCTGTGCGTTAAATTATCTGAGAGAGGCAGCACTGACAGAGGCACAGAGGAGCTGACTCCTGCAGGAGCGGTGCCGTTCCCCTCCTCCCCACGCATCAGGACCAATTACCATAGAAACAACCGCCAGCGCCACAAAGTGACAGACCCTCGCTGGAGCTGGGGGACAGGAGCAACGCCAACGTCACAGCAACACTGTTCCCCTTCTCTTTCTGCCATTGGCGTTTGCCTCAGAACTTTAAGCCCTAATTCTCTTTCTGCCATTGGCGTTTGCCTCAGAAGTTTAAGCCCTAATTGGAAAAAAAAAAAAACCCAAACCAAAACAGAATGCAGAAAAATAACATTAAACCTAACTTTCAGTAGTAATATTTGGCATCCTTTCAAAATTTATTGAAAATGCAGAAGGCTGGTATTTTACTATATCTCTTTTAAACTGCCTGTCCCGGATCACATTGCTTACTTTTGATGCCTAATTCTTAAGAAAATGTATAAAACCTAAATCATGGACATTTTCCTATGAGAACCTACAAGACAACCCTATTTTAGGATTAAACCAATTTCATTTTCTTCTCTTTGTAATTCCTGAGATGGTGCGGAGATGCTAAACTTATCATTATATGAAAGCTTGTCTTGCATTTTTGGGAATCCTCATGTCTCACATCTTTCCTATATAAGATCTGTTTTGACTATCTCCTCTATATGAAGACTTGTAAAGTCCTGAGACATAAACTACATCTCTCTCTGTTAGATGCCAGTCTGGGGAAGCCTTCTTTTACGTGTGCAACAGGAATGAATGATGGCCTCTCTCTGTTAGATGCCAGTCTGGGGAAGCCTCCCTTGAGGGAACTTTCTGGCTTCTTTTACATGTGCAACAGGTATGAAAGGTGGCCAGATGTTCCAGAAGCTCCATTTCTGTATCATTTCAGTGCTATTTCAGTGTAATGGTTTCAATCAGAAGTGAATGCTTTGGTGTGGATAAAATAATAAATAAATTTCACAAAGTTTTCCTTCACATTATATACGAGATTAAAATATATTTTTGTTGTTGCTACTGATGATGTATCAGAATGTACAAGATATTATGTATAATGGCAAGATAGCACCTTGACCTCTATTCCTTTTAATTTAAAAAGCGAAACCTTCATCCTTAAGAAGATCCAGTGACAGCCATCCTGCTATCTTCTCACTTTAAATAGCAAACTGCTTTAATGTCTGAAACCAGATGTCTGAGGGTAAACTTCACCTATGTGAAGAAAGGTTTGGAACCTTTATTCCAATTTATTCTTGACTATACTCAGAATAAAATTGCTCTGAAATATTATGTCACTGATTTTCCAGTATCTCGTTACACTCCAGAGACTTTATTACAAATTAGTGGGAAAAACTCTAGACCCTGTCTTAAAATGCAAAGATCACCATTTAAAGTATAATTCATATCAGTTATCCATCTTAAATAGAGATGCGTTACATCCTAGATGGCCTGAAAAAGAATGTTTAAACTACTTTCAGCTGTGTTGCAGAAATTTGAGTTGTTAAACTTATATTCTAGCCAAAAGGGCAGTGGAAGTTGAAAGAAATCCTTCAATAAAAGTAAAACATTAGAAAAGTCATTTGCCATTTGAAATTATTTCCTTGAAAGAAATGGAGACTAAGGTTGTAAAACATTGTGTTTAACCAAGCACTGAAATCAAGAACCATGCCTTTTTTAGTATGAAAAGAGTCTGGGTTTTGCACCCAGGCTCACCTGGGCTACCAAGGAACACTGAATGAACGCAATAACGAAGGATTTTTAACATTATCCACCTTTCACAGAGGTTGATTGGATAAATTTGATTCAAGGAAATCTCACTTCTTAAGATTTGTGAAGCCAGATGGTGCCCCATGAAGCTGCCTTGGAGCAAAGTATTTCTCTTATAACTTGAGAAATGCCCAATTTTTGTAGTTACATATGGAATTATTTTTGCTTTAAGGATAGCATTTGGCAAACATGGTGCTCCGTGTCTATTCAGTGATCCCCACTGCCACAATTATTTCTATGAGTCATCAGAAGAATTAGAATCCAGTAAGGACAGTGCCAAAGAAAAAGCATCTATTAATTAAGAAAAGAGCCTGATAATTAAATTCACCACGGAAATCAGATTTAATTTTAAATTCTAGAAAATGTAACCCATACAGTGAGTGGCCCATGTAGTTTTTCAGTGCCATTTGCCACGCTTTTGGAGAAGAAAAAGAAATTTAAATGTTTAATGCTATTTAACAACAAAACATGTGGTATCTACAAAGCACAATGCATCATTAGTGTGTTTATGGTACTTACAGACCAGTTGAGGGGTCCATATAGTGAGAGACCAATTCACTGGAGACCTCGTGTCAGTGGCACTTCTGTGGGAACACATACATCTTAGAGGAGAATGAAGGGGAACTTAGGATGGCTTGTGAGATTGGCCTGGTGCCTTGAAAACACATCCTGCTGTATTTAAATAGGTCAGCACTGACAGATTCATAGTGTAATTAATGTTGATTAAATCCATGTAGGACCAAGAAAATATGAAGTAACAACTGGTTTGGAACTATTTTGTATATGACATAAGTAATCAAGAGACACAGAAATCTAAATGTCTTATGGATGGCCGGATTATGATTCAACCCTGACTGATTTTTATTGAATTGTTTGAATATTTAAACATTTTCATTACAGATTTTGGTTTTGAGGTTTTTTTCCTTAATTAAGCATGACTGATAGTGGTAACTGTCATTAACTGAGTATTAACTGTTCTACAAATAAACAAATTAAATGAATATGAGAAAAGGTTCCTACTATGAAGAACTATGTACAATCAACGTAGTATGAAGCAAGAAAAATAACCCCAAATTTCTGCCCAAGAATCCAACCAAATACAAGCTGATAAGTAGGATAAATACTTGGAATATATTCTAGAAGAAAATCTAGACAAACAGAAGATTAATGCAACTGGAATGATTTCATGTAGACAGTTCTACACAGCAAACACTCATGCAGTAGCTAATTTTCAACACTGCTGGAGTTGGTGTAATACAAGAACTTTCAGCACAGGAAGCACTTATCTTCCAGAATAAGAGCTAATAAATCAAAATTACTTTGTTCCCTTGTACGT